GGGGCGGGCCCACCTGCCGCTCCAGCTTCTCGGCCTCCCTCTGTCGCTGCAGCTCGACCTCGTGGGCGGCCAGTAGCAGGCTCTGGGATCGGCAGAAGTGGGTGAGGACCAAGGCCCCAAGGGCTCTCCCGGAAGCTCCCAGACCAGACCCTCTCACCTCCCATCCCGGTGCCCAGGGCCTCCGCCCTGGCCCAGGCCTACTCTCCTCTCCCTGAGCCCAGGAGCAATAAGCTTCAGCTTCACCCCAGCCTCCACCCGGCAGCCAACCGGCTAACCCTAACCCTCGCCTCATGTCTGCTCGCCGTGTTTGCTAGGAGCGTGGCCCCTGCACATTACGATTTCATCCTCCTGAAACATCCACGACAGGCACACCCCGACAGGGGGCACGTGGCTGCCTAGGACCAGGAGGGAACCAGGGGTCACGAGAGCTGACCGTAGTGACGGCTGCACAATGGTTAGGAACACCCACTGAACTGTGCGTTTTCGCAGGTGAAGGTGTGCTGTGCGAGCCACCTCTACACAGAGCAGAGGCGCGCACGTACATGCACACACACTACCCCGCTGGGCCCTCTCTGTCCACACGGGAAACTGATGACCCTGTCCTTCTACCAGCGAGAACCGGGCTGCTCTCTGCAGACCCATCAGCCAGGTGAGGAGCGCTGAGACAGCGGGCTGAGACTGACTACCCCTGGGCCACTGCTCTCAGCTCTTGCCAGGGCCCTGCCCCTTAGATGTGCTCCGAGGGAGGTCGTCGTCCCTTGGTTTGCAGCCCCTATGCTGAACAAACGCCTGCTAACAGCAGCCCTCCCACTGCTAACTCCCTTTGCCCCTGGACAAACGCTGGTGTTCAGCCAGTCTGAAGAAGGCCTTCACACCTTTGTCCTGTGGCATCCCTGAAAGGTGCCACATGTGGTCTCTGTCCCCTCTGCCTGGAAAAACCCACTCCCCTCTCCTTGCAGCAAAGTCCCCCTCAGCCTTGCCTCAGCCCAGCTGTCCCTCCTCCAGCGAGCCCTTCCCAACCCCGAGCTGGGCCAGTCCTCTCTGGGCTTCCAGCCCAACACTCTGCACCCTCACTGGCTGGGAACAGGTCTGTCCCCCCACCGGCCCATGCACCCTACAAGGACAGGTCTAGGGCTCTTTCGGTCACGGGACCCCAGCACCACTAGCTAGGGTCAGCACGCAAACCCCAGTAAGAGCAGGCCACGCCAGCACCAGAGCCAAGGGCAGAGGCCAGACCGGGGCTGGGGCCAGGCCAGGTACCTGGTGGTCTTCAAAAGTCGGGTTGTAGGAGGCTCCGGCAGGTGTCACCTCCACAGCAGGTGCCTGGGAGGGCTTGACGTGGAGACGTGAGGGGCGCTAGGGGAAGACAAAGCTAAAACAAGTAAGAGCCACGCTGTGGCCTCGCTGCATCCCCACCAAGCCTCCCCCAAACCCAACCACCTGAGAGGCTGCCTGAACCCCAGCCCACACAGATTCAGGAAGGCACCCTCACACCCCTGGCCCCACACACCTGCCCACAGTCTGCCCTCCTCAGTGTGGCCCCCCGCCATCCTCCACCCCACCCCGCCCCACTCCTAATACACCCACACCAGGCTTGCCTCCCCACGGCTCCTGAACATACGTGGTTCCGCCTCCTGGACTCAGCACTTGCCCTTCCCTTTGCTTGCCCCCTGCCTGCAGCCCCTCCTCTCCTAGTGGACTCGCTCCCCAGCCCCCTGCAGGTCTCTAACCCGTGGGTACCGAGTTCTTTCCAGGAGGGGCCTACCTAAAGCACAGCCTGCCCTGCCGACCTGGCCTCCATGCCCTGCCATCTCCCCTTCTGGAGCCCACCAGGCCAGGTTTATTTTTAAGGACAGCCCCCCTCTCCTCCCCACTGCCCGGCACCCAGAGCCTAGCAGGAAGACCCCTATAACTTGCTACATGAATGAAGCAGAACCCTGAGGATCTCACACTCTGGGTCCAGCAGCTCGAGGTGAAAAGGCCACGAATCACAGCCTGCAGCAGGGGACACCCTCGCCAGGCGCCATCTCCAGCGTTTCATGGGGTGCTTTGATCTATTCTCCCAACCACCCCAGAACTAAGGAATGGAGACACTGAGAGGTCTTGCCACCTCCCAGTCAGTACAGAGTGGGGGCAGGAACCGGGCCTCCTGGCTCCAGCACCCAGGTCAACTCCCCTGGACAGGTGGTTCTGGGGCTGAGACACCACAGCCCGAATTAGAGCTGCCCCCCACCCTAGACCACCCTCACCCCGACGCCCTCCCTCAAGACCTCACCTTCACGCCTTTCTTCTTGGTCTGCTCCAGGAAAAACGCATCCTGGCCAACCAGTGGCCTGTCCAGGGGATCTGGGGAACCAGTGAGGGGTAGCTTCTGGGGGCTTTCTAGCATGGCCAAGGGGGCTCCCTCCGATCCCTCATTTCAAAGATCGCGCTGAAGCTCAAGCAAGAGGAGGACTCTTTCACTGACCCCGATGAGCCTGAACACAGGCCACACCGCCTGGACAAGGTCCAGAAAACGGGAGATCAAACTGAGGAGGGCGACCGCCACGTTCAGGACAGGAAATACAAGTGAGAAAACGCCACTTCAGGCCGCGCGGCTCTGCTGGGTGATCACCGCCACCCCGGGGCGCCCTCACACAGTGCACGACACGTACAACTGCGCACAGCAGTCCTCGCCCCGCCCACGGGTGACACAGGATCACTCACTGTCCACATCCCAGAGGTCATAGAAGGGTCGCTCGGCAGTGTCCTGGGGCCCAGGCCTGGCCTTGGCGGTGGGAGGGTTGAGGAGCCTGGCCTGGGCCTTGCGCACCTCCCGGGGCAGCTCGCCCTGCTTTGCCAGCTTCTCCCACAGCTGCTCCTTCCGCCTGAGCTTCTTGGCATTGGGGACTTGGTGGGCGAGGACACTAGGTCGGGGAGAAGGGCACAGGTGCAGTGGGTGAGGTGGCCTCCTAGTGGGCACCCTCGCCACCGGGCAGAACCCAGGCTTCCTCTCCAGGACTTCTCCCAAGGGAGGTGCCCACCTCCCCTTCAGATGCCCCCCCATCTGTCTCTAGCTCAGCTCTCTCCCCACAGCTGCAGAGTCCACAAAGCAAGAGCCACACCCTGGATATATCCCGGCACCTCACAACCACGTCAAAACCAAAAGCCCAACTTCCTCCCACGTCACCATCCAGGGCAGACCCCCAGGTGTTCACCCCAAGGGCCACTCTGCCCCTTCCATGGACCACAAGCCACTATGACCTTCCTCCTGAATGCAGCTCCCCCCAGTCCCACTGCCCTGCCCCGGACCCCCCAGCCAGGTCCAAGCCATCCTGGTCTTCTCACCCAGCACCCTGGTCCCAGCCTCATTCCCTCCAATCCGCTCTCCAGAGTCCAAATGTGAAAAAGTCCACCCCCAGAAGTCCTTAAGGTCAGGACCTGGGAAAAAAGAGCCCAGGAGTGGCGGGGGCGGGGGGGGGGATATCTTTGGGGGCGGGGGATCTTGGATGTGTTCTCAAGGACAAGGTCGACCCGAAGGGGTTTCTTGAGAAGCAGTGACTTCTTCTGGACTTTGGTCCTTTTCTTGTTCAGTTCTTGGAATGGGAGAAAGGAAGAGTTGAGGCCCCAGGTTTCTCCATGACCAAAGACCATCCTCCCTGACCTCAGTGCCATGAAGCCACCTGAGCTGCATCCCAAGTGACCAGCATGGACTTGGAGTCCCCAGGCTGACCCTGACATCCACCCCAGGGCAGAGGCCCCACAGGGCAGAGCACACAGTATAACCCTCCACCACCCCCATATCCTTAGCCAGCAGGGGGCAGGCCCTGCGCTGGGACACCCGAGGGCGCCCAGACACAGCAGGGAAGCTGCCCCAGAACAGGGAAGAGAGCAGGTGGCCTGGGGAGGGCCACTGGGTGGACGCAGGACCCAGGAAGGCTGATTACCAGCACTGCGTTCTCTACTTTTCACCTCTAAAGCCTAAGGGTTCAGAGGAAGACCTCCAGAACAGACCTACCGGGATGGAGCTGTAGCCTCCTGTGTACAGTGGAACCTCACCAAGCAGCCCGCTCCTCTGTGCCCTCAAATGACTCCTACCACCTCCCTCCATTGTGGGTTTCCGGAAGGCATAATAATTTCAGGAGCACAGAGCATGGGGATGGTAACACCATAAGCCTTCCGCCTCTATTTCTCCTCTTGGGATTTTGGGCGCACACACGTGTCCCTGGCCTGGGGCTCAAACCATGCAGTCTGCTAAGTGGACTCCATCAGCCTTAACCGCCGTGCCACGAGCAGGCCAGAAGTCCTGCTTGCATTAAAGCAACACCCCTCTGCCTTCCAAGCCAAACCATTAGCACAGGTGCTCCCGGGCCACCCTCGGCTAGATGGCAACCAATCACTGCCAGCTACCGGACACCACCACCACGAAAGCCCCTTATCACCTTTTTCCTTGGAGCCGGTGTCAACGAAGAAGAGTTTTTCATCCGGGGCCTCTGACAACAAGCCACTGGGAAATGCAAAGTCAGTCAGCCAAAGGTGTTGAGGTTTCACCCCTCAGGACCCTTCCTTTTGTGTTCATTCAAGCACCTTCTTCCCGCCACGGGCCCCTTCTGGCTAAGGCCTTGCCCTTGACTCCACGTTTTAATATTTAAAGTTAACCGAGCTAGGGGAGCACGAGTGGCCGCAATTACATCTAAGAAGTAATCGCTGCTTACCCGATATTCAAATAAATGGGGTGTTCAATCTGCTAACTACCAGGCCGCCCAGCCTCCTGCCCCGGGTCCCCAGCCCACTAGGCAGCTGCCCCCGGCCTCCCGGAAGTGCCCCAGCACGTTGTTTCGCACCTGGCCGCAGCGAACGCGGCCCAGCCCCCGGAAGTCCCGCCCCACGTACCCGGTGGTGCGCTCCTGCAGCCGCACGTCTTCCAGGAACTGGTCCACCTCCAGCCCCAGTGGCTCCTGCGCGAGCCGCCGCCAGCCCCGCTTCCTATTTCTT